TGACAATACTCTTGGGCTTGTGCTTTCTAATAGAAGGATCATCCACCAATAAATATATTGCATACTTGAAATTAGTTGTCGACCAATTCATGATCTTGATCCACGATTCCATAAACTGAGCGTGAGCGACTCTCATGTCAATCCTTTTGGCATGTGCCGGTGTATGCTTATTCAAGGTAAGCTCAGGTTTATCTCTGATAAAGTCAGCTTTAGAAAACTCCCATTGCTGATCAGAGTCGACTTTCGCAAAGCCAAGTCCTTGAATAAGCATATCGGTAAAAAAATGGAAACTATCGTACCCTACACAAAAGCATATCGGTGAAACTGTCTAAAACTATCGGCAAAAAATCTCTGGAAAGCTAATCAGGTTTCCAAACTATGAAACTCTTTCCACTTGGTCCCCACGAGATTATTGAATCGCTTGAAGGATCATTCACCATGTGGTAAGTTTTGACCAAAACTGAACAATATTCCTCAACCCAACAAAAAGGAAAAGAAAATCACCAATCGAACTCACAAACTTCCTTACTAGAAAGATTAGCAATAACCAATTGACTACGGATTAAAAGTGACTATAATAGTTAATGAATAAAATCGCAGGTTACCGTCGTATATATAGCCATTTGTATGTCTTGGGCTCCAAGTTTACAATGTCGGTTAAACATCAACCTTGTATGATGTGTCGGTATAAAAATCCTTGTGGAAATAGGATTTTTGTTTTTTTCTTAATCATATTCAGATTTGGTTTTAGGTCTTCAAGCATCTTTTATAAATACAGAGAAACATAAAACCTAAATTACACGATACAATCAAACACACAAACCTAAAGAGAGAGAGCTATATACTTTTTGTGCAAGGTAACGAACAAAAAAACCCTAGATATCATCCATGGCAGGAGTATTGCAGCATATGATGAAACCATTCTTAGGTCTTGTACCAGAGGTCAAAACTTGTCATAAGAAGGTTCCATTGAGGGAGAAAGTGATCTACACAATGATCACTCTCTTCGTTTTCCTCGTTTGTAGTCAACTTCCTCTCTACGGTATCCACTCAACGACCGGTGCAGATCCGTTCTACTGGATGCGTGCCATTCTCGCATCGAGCCGTGGTACCGTCATGGAGCTCGGTATCGGTCCAATCGTCATATCAGGACTCGTGATGCAACTCTTGACCGGCTCAAAGATTATTCAAGTCAACAAGGAGGATCAAACTCTCTTGAACGCTACTCAAAAGCTTCTAGGGATTCTAATCGCCATAGGTCAAGCTACGTTATATGTTCTCTCTGGAATGTACGGTCCTTTTTGGCAGCTCGGTTCCGGAAACGCAATCCTCATCGTTCTCCAGCTTGTCTTTGGAGGAATCATAGTTCTTTGTCTTGATGAGCTTCTCCAAAAAGGATACGGTCTTGGCTCAGGGATCTCTCTGTTTATAGCGACTAATCTTTGCGAAAGCGTCATCTGGAAAGCGTTTAGCCCGGTGACGATCCACGGACGTTTTGGAACCGAGTTCGAAGGCGCCGTTGTCTCGCTATTCCATAAACTGATTACTAAGTCTAGTATCCGACAAGCTTTCTTTAGACAAAACCTTCCAAACGTTACAAACTTGCTCGCCACGGTCTTGATCTTCCTCATTGTCAACTACTTCCAAGGCTTCCGCGTTGATTTGCCCGTTAAGTCGAAGAATTCCCGTGGTGGTTGGGCTCTAATTACCCGATCAAGCTCTTCTACACTTCAAACATGCCAATCATTCTCCAATCAGCTCTCGTCTCGAATCTCTACTTCATCTCTCAGCCTCTCTACAAGAACTTTAGTGGCAACTTCTTGGTTAACTTGTTGGGACAATGGAGAGACTCTGTACCAGTCGGTGGCCTCGCTTACTTAATCAGAGCGCCATCGAGTTTCGCGGATATCTCTGCTCATCCTTGCCACGCACTCTTCTACATCGTCTTCATGCTCTCTGCTTGCGCGTTTTTCTCAAAGACGTGGATTCAAATCTCGGGGACTTCCGCTAAAGACGTAGCTAAGCAGCTCAAGGAACAACAATTGGTAATGCCGGGATACAGAGAGTCTAATTTGCACAAGGAGCTAGACCGCTATATCGGAACATCAGCTGCTTTTGGAGGAATGTGCATTGGTGCACTCACTGTTCTTGCTGATCTCATGGGAGCTATTGGATCAGGGACCGGAATCTTGCTTGCTGTCTCAACAATCTATCAGTGTTTCGAGGCGTTCGATAAGGAAAGAATGTGGTTTAATGGTGCAACATTCTTAAGTTGTAACCTTTTCTTATCTTCAATATGGTTAATCAAGAATCCATTAAACAACAATTTGTATTTTCGGAGCTTTGATAGTTAAAACTTACAACATGTAATTTGCATTACAAACAAACATCAATTTTTTGTTTTCCTCTTCCTATGGTTACATTACATCCCCAATCAACAATCACAGCGACAAGTTTTAATCTTTTTTCCTTCTTCTTGAAGCTCAAATTTTACAACAAGATAAGTAATACATTCGTTTCTCAAGAATCAAGATCATTTGCCGCCTCGTTGTCTCTTCTCTTCGAGCTGAGCTGCTTCGTTCAACATATCGGCTGCGTCTGTGTTCATGTTTAGCTTCGCTAAAGCTACAGATTGCATGTAGAAAGCAGTTGGCCAATCTGGATACACGCACTGCGCTTGCATCGCATCGCGTAGTGCTGCGTCTGGTTGATCGCATAGTAAGTAGCAGAGACTTCTCCGACCAAATACAGTTGGTGACACCATTGTTCCAACGTCGATGAACTGCCCAAAACCAATGTATGTAATGTGACCATGAGTTCTAACTTCTAACAATGTCCAGATAAACCAAAAATTGCCAAATCCGATTTTAACCCTAGCGAAAAATCTTATCCAAATACCGAACGGAGCAGAAAATAAATTAACTTAGTTTAATTGATCCGAACGGAACCCACACCGAAACTGGATCGAACCGATTAGGAAACAAATCGAATAAAACCAAATACATTGGAAAGATGTTTAATCCGCTTGAATCGATTGGAACCGAACCCAAACCGTACTGAAAAAAGGGATTGGACATGCAAAAAAAGAGTAACCAGAAATCACTACCTGTGAGTAACAGTCGATGGCCATTTTGAAATCTTTCTCGCGGAAAGCTTGATCACCGCGTTTTCGTGCGTCAAGCATATCCTTCATCTGTTGCGTCCATTCTTGGAAAGATAACTGTAATCAGTAGATAACCCCGAGAGTTAGTTAAAGAAATAAATCTCTTTTTAATGAGTTTTAGTATTTGAAACCAAAACTACCAATTAATTACCTCGTTTGTTCCTTCGTCATCTCGGTAATGGGTCATGACCAAGATCTGATGAATAGCTGTGAGATCCATTCTCGAGCAAGCCTCACCTAATGGTGAAAGTGGCCTTTGTGGTGTCGAAGGTGCCTCCTCGTGCTTCTTTATTCCAAGCATTACATAAGACGGAACCTGTACTCAAAATGTTTATTGCTTGAAAAGACGAATTCAAGAACAGGAAAATAAAAAAGACGAGAAAATTCAAGAACTCGGTCATACTTACGTCTGATTTAGTTTGCAACGGGGCAAGTGTTGCAACGAGATCTTTTGTATTGGGTCTCTCTCGAGGCTCATATTGCAAACATTGAGAGGCAAGTTCGACAACGACGKTAGCTTCTTCTGTTGAAAACTTTCCCTCGAGGTGTGAATCCATCAACAGAATGATATTCTTGCCACGAATCATATCCAGAGCCTAAAGGTAAGATATCTCACCAAATTAATACCACAAAACTTACCCACTTGTACTATAAGACATAACATCTTTCAAGAATAACTTCACAAGAACCATGAATCACCCGGTAAAAACGTTGCCCACGTTACAAAATTCCAGAAACGAGAGCTATATCAGCTGATAAATGCCAGATTCTTTATGGGTTTTCTAGTTTGTAATGAGCTTCTATTCATATTATCTAGCAGCTTAAAGGACAAGTGTGCAGCACATATCTATAGCTAGTTTTAAGAGAGACGGTGAAGGAGCAACGTTATAGAATTCTTAGAAACCACAATCACTTGGCAAATCATGACCAACTTCCAAGTACACTTATTTTTGCTCAAACAGATAGATAACGAACTTACATGGCTTGGAGGGATGTGCTTTCCGCTAAGCAAATCCAGAAGAACAGTTCCAAAGCTGTAAGTAACACTTTCAGGAGTCACTCTTCCTACAAACAGAAAATTTGACCACACTAAGACTGTGCTATGAAAATTTCGACTGCAAGATGCGAAAATGCAAAAAAAAAGCTTATTGAGCTAATCTAGAAAGAAGAAACAAATTGATTTACCATTTCTTAGATATTCGGGTGGTGTATATGCTAGATTTGTGCTATAACTTTTACCATCCCTACTATTCTTCATCAAGCCGAAACACGAGAGACGAGGATCACCATCCTACAAAATTCATTCAAAAACTTGTTAAAACACCACCGCCTTAAATTCTTGAGAAGAGAATAATAATAATAATACCTCATCAAAGAGAACCCTATAAGCATTTAAATCATGGTACAACGGACGACCCTCCGTACTGCAATAATCCAAAGCTTCAGCTATGTAATATCCTACTCGCAATCTCATTGCCCATTCGATAGTCTGATTTTCCCCTGTGAATGACCACAAAACACAACAACAACATAAGAAGAAGAAAAACTCCACCTTTTAAGACATTCTAATCACCTAATCCATTCTAAAACCATAAATGCAAAGCTCTTGTAACTTTGGATACTTAAGGAAACTAAAAATTTTCACAGCTTTAGAGAGACATTTCATACAATGGAACAAATGCTTAGCAAGTGTATCATTAGGCATGAACTCAGCAACAAGAAGTCTTTCGTCTCCATCACAACAATAACCAATCAAATTCGCCAATCGATTATGCCTCAATTTCCCAACACCCCAAGCCTCTTCCTGCAACAAAATTGACAGATTTCATGAAAAGAAAAATTCAATTTTTATGACTAATCAATTGAACAAAATTGAATACAAACCGCGAATTGTTTAGGATCAGGCCAAGCCATCTTAGTAAACTTCTTGACAGCGATCCATCGACGATTCTGAAGTCGACCTTTGTAGACAAGATTTGGGGCTTTCTCACCACTCTCTGATACGATGTGGTCGGAACTGAAGTTGTTTGTTGCTGATTTAAGGTCAGCGAAAGAGAACTCAGAGAAAGAAGGGAT